ATTTTTGAAGAAATAAGGACCGATGATGCCTTCTGCATGCAAGCCGCGCCAAACTGTGACCTTTTGCGGATGCAAAGGCGTCTCCAGAACTTGTTCGGGTTGTTCTGCGCTTCAATACCGCATATTTTGCTTGTTTACGTACCCTTTTAGCCAAAAATGTGCTTCGTCCGAAAACATGATTTTCCGATGAAAATCTGGGTCATCTCTCAGCTTGGCCAGAGCCCAATTAGAGAACGTACGGCGTCTCGGATGGTCATGCCACTTCAGCTCCTGGACCAGCTGGATCTTATACGCCTACAAACCCAAATCTTTACGCAAAATCTTCCACGTAGTGGACGCTGTAAGGCCCAATTCTTGACCGCGGTGCCGAATTGAGACATTCGGATCTTCGGTGACACTCTCGTTCACAGTTCGTATGGTTTCATCGGTACGCACTGAACGAGCGTAGGAAATACGCGGCAGGTCACACAGAGAAAACGTCTCGTCGAACTTTTTCATCAATAAGCGAATATTGGCTTCGGTTGGCCGGTGATGTTGGCCGTAAATTGGTATCAAATCACGGTACGTTTGGCGAATTGATTTGCCATTTTTGATGTAAAATTCCAAAATTTGGCGACGTTCTGGGCGCGAAAGGTGATTCATGTTGATAACTTCAATATTTTCTGTGTCTGAAAAAAACCAAGATGGCCGCCATCTGTCAATTCCTTCTCTGTCAAATCCCTATCGGAAAATAGATTGCTCAAAAAAAACACACAATATCTGGCAAATTTATAATTCTTCTATTAAATGTATATTATATTTAAATAACGTACAATCACGTTTTAAAGTGCACAAACGCACATGAGACATAGTATATTTTGTGGAATGTCTGAAGACATAGGTCTCTTTCTCGAGGGCCCGGGCGGCGTCGTGGTGAATGTTCACTGATCCCACGGCGCCGACTCAACCGGCGAGAGGGAAACCCGGGGGGGTTTTTAGTGGGGTAGGCCCTCAAGCCTGGAGGGAGAGTCCCCTCATAACCCCTGAGTCTCCCTGGGCTCAGGGGTATCCATAAAGATTTCCCCCCCGTCAAAAAAAAAAAAGTCTCTTTCTCGAGTATTTCAAAATAGAAAGTAAATCTGCCCCATTTCGCACCTGTCATAGTAATGGTGTTGTTCAGGTTTAACTGCACTTCAACCTAACATAACACAGCGTCATCATAATGAATATCCAAAGTAATTTACAGAAAAAGATTGTGAATTAGCGTCACCATCTATAAACAGGAGCGTAAAGCTATTGTAAATGTGGACAAAAAAAATAAGGCGAAGTATACAACGTAATTACCCTCGCTTGTCTAAATACCAATTAATAGTAATATTTAAATAACAATTTTCAACAGATCGAGTTCTTAGGTTTTCGCGATTGTTCCACATAGGAAATGAAACTATTTTTCCGGATTTAAATCGCGTATATTTGTTTGTAAAACTTAATGTAGCGTAAATTGGAATGTTTTCTTTGTAAAATTAATAATAAGGTATTTAATTAATAACTATTGTAACTATAGTGAAAAAATAGGGTGGTTTGCATCAATATTAGACATAACCGGTTGAAGACTGTACCACCTCAGTCAACCGTGACCATGGGACCTGTAAAGGGCACGAAACGTCGGTTTGTTTGAAAAAACAAATATAAAAATAGTTTCATTTCCTAATTTTCAACAGTTTTATAGTATTACATTACTTACTCAATTTTCTATATACAACTCTTCTCGTCCGTAATACCGCAGTTCTTGAAGACAAAAGTCTTCGAGCAGTCCGTGTTGCCGGCGATGACCTACGCTCTGAGATGTGGTCACTTACTATGGGCCTCATAAAAAAGTTCAAAGTCACTCAACGAGCTATGGAGCGAGCAATGGTCGGCATTTCTCTACGTCATCGAATCAGAAATGAGGAAAAACGTAGAAGAACGAAAATCACTGATATAGCTCAAAGGACCAGCAAGTTGAAGTGGCAACGGGCTGGGCTCATATGTAGGTCGTAGAACTAACGGCCGTTGGGGTAAAAAGGTTCTCGAATGGAGACCACGAACCGGAAAGCGTTCAGTGGGATGGCCGCCTACTAGATGGACGGATAACCTGGTAAGGGCGGCGGCTAACCGGTGGATGCACGTATCTCCGATTGGTTAGTCTGGAAATCTTTGGGGGGAGGGCTATGTTCAGCAGTGGACGTCTTTCGGCTGAGATGATGATAATGATTAATTTTTAAGTACTGACAGCCCGGTCACTTAGTGAATTCGGGCGCAGGCGCCGGCGATCAGCAATGCTATTTAAAACTTTTATGGAGGTCAAATGCGCACTTATGTTTTATAAAATAAAAGATCGCTTCAAGTAGGTATGTGATTATTATAAATGTAGATATTATGAATCATAAATCTTCATTCAGTAACTTAGAAGTTGTCTGATTTTGACTAAAGTACAAAGTCAAAGTCAAAGTCAAAGATTATTTATTCCATAGGTAAAATAAATTTACACTTGAAAATGTCACATTTAAGCTACTGCTCGTTCACTACGCTGACTCCCTGAGGAGAACGAGCAAGAAACTCTAGGGATTGCTCTTTTCAAATAAACTTAAATGCTATGGAATACACTTTGAATCAAATTTGTGTGGATTCTGGAGCCATGTCTTTCCATACATCTTTATCTAACACGTGGTCTTCAATTTTGTAATATGATTTTTCGATCAAAATATTTTTAATGTAACTACAGTTAAACTTAGGAAATGATAAACTTAATATATGCTCCGGAATCTTATTGTAAAAACGTATACAGTTCCCCATAAAAGAGTTGTTTACCTTGGTTAAACGAAATCGTGGTACCATGAGTTTGGACTTAGCTCTAAGGTTAATATTATGGATATCTTCTTTCTTATTGCAATTATGTATATTTTTACGGGCATATAAAATATTTGAGTAAATTTACTGTGATACCACAGTCATGATACCAGTCTCCTTAAACTTTTCTCTGAGAGAAACCCGAGAGCCTAGACGGTACACAGAACGAATCGCTCGTTTTTGCAATACAAATATGGTTTGAATATCTGCCGCTTTACCCCACATGAGAAGCCCGTAGGACATTATACTATGGAAGTAACTAAAGTAAACTAGTCTAGCAGTCTCGCTACAAATATGGACACCTAAAACAGCATTGTGATTGGTATCATCTGATTATCTGTATCTGCGGGAATATTATTCGTGATTTGTAGATAATTTAACGATAACAACTTCTATTGCTTAGTAATTAACTAGAGTGCGAAAATGGCAGTCCATCGCAGAGGATATATAATTGGTGTATTAATTTTGAGTATTCTTTGTGTTGCGATAATTGTTGCTTCTGTGGCTACTAATAGCTGGGTGAGTAGTGATTTTTTACACTTGTATTAGCTTCTTTACCTTTTTTTATTAAAAAAAAAAATGCACATTTGACTTCCATCTCACGTGATGGAAAGTGACGATGAAGTCGACGATGGAGCATGCACACCTAAATAAAGCCTATTCACACTCGCTTTGAAAAGGTCGCAGTTTTAACGTTCAGGGAACAAGTCTGTAGGCAGGAAATTCCTCTCCATAGCTGTTCGTCATATAAATGTGGAAGCGAAACGGAGTATCCACAACATAAGAGTGGAACCCCAGCCTGCGTCTAGTCCCCTGATGATGGAAAGGGGAAGGCGGAATTAATTCGTGTAATTCCCTCGCACACTCTCCGTGATATATCCTGTAGAATACCGATAAGCAGGCAACTTTACGGCGGTGTTCAAGGCTCTGTAGCTTCGCCTCTACTAATTCCTGGTCACCTATAAGCCTCTTGGCATTCTTGTCGAATGAATCCAAGGTGGCCAGTTGGTATGTAGCAGAGCCGTCCCATAGGCGGCAGCAGTACTCCATACACGACCGGACTTATGCTTGGTACATCTGTAGCAACCCTCCCGGTGTGAAGTAACGCCTCACCTGGAAAGGATGCCAAGCTTTTTGGCTGCATTTTTGGCCATGGATTCTATGTACCTGCCGAAGTTAAAATTGTAATCGGCGTGGTGACGTTAAACTAGAGATACACCTATATTTATTGGTTTATCGTGCACAGTTGTTTTCAGTTTGGTGCCACACAAAAATGCCACAGCGCCCTGTCGTGCGCCGCTTGCATCCAGCGGATTGCCGCAGCCTTCACCAGACTATCAGTCCACCTTGTGGGTGGTCTGCCCTCGCTGCATCCTGTTCGGTAGGCAATCGCTACTCGAGAACTCTGCGGCCCTATCGGCCATCTGTTCTGCGAGCAATGTCCTGCCCATTGCTACTTAAGTTTTGCAATTCGGGCTATGTCGGTTACTATGGTTCCCTTGCGGATATTCTTATTACTGAATCGATCTCGCAACGAAACTCCGAGCATTGCCCTTTCCATTGCCTTTTAAGTGACCTTGAGGCTTCTAATGAGACTCATAGTGAGCGACCACGTCTCAGTGCCGTAAATCATCACTGGCAACACAAACTGGTTGAAGACTTTTGTCTTGAGGCATTGTGGTATTTTGGATGAGAAGATATGGCGTAATTTCCCGAACGCTGCTCAACCGATCAAGAGGTCAATCGTCGAACTCGACTCAAGAAAGATCTCGAAATTGGACCTACCTAACTGGATAATTTGTCCTAGGTATACATAATCGTCAACAATTTCGAGTGTAGAGTTTCCGATCTTCATGGGAGTTGGCCATACATGGTTATTTGACATGATCTTCGACGTCCATGTTCATTTTAAGACCGACTCTTACGGAGGTTCTACTGAGGTCATCGAGCATTGTACGGAGGTTCTCTATGGTATTTAATACAGTTATTGATTAAATATATCTACAAGAAATATCTATATGTTTCCACTCCTTTAATCTTACTCTGCTTTCTGATATTCAAAATCTTATTTTGGCCTGCCCGACCACGGAAAAAAAGCAATGGAAGTGCCTTAACCCACATATTATTAACAGCTAACACAATCGAGAAACAGCACGCGGTATATATAATTTTTCGCGACCGTTGTAATCAAATGAATAACTATGATGTTAACGTGATTACGGGTAGCTCAAACCGGCCGACCATGCGGGGAATGCAAAAGATGCCTTCCTTCGATTTGTGGACCATATATGAATAAATATGTATGGTTGATTGGAACAAATAAGAGTAAGTAAGCTGGGAGCACAACACCTCTTGTAATCAACCGCGTGGCCGTTCCACCGGAGAGTAGAGAGATCTCGGCTCCTTGTTTGCGAGCTAAATTCAAATACAATTTTCAGCGCAACCAAACGCTTTGTGTCATTCCAATTTTATTTTTCCAGCGTTATCTACTTGGTTAAATGTGAACTACTGGACCGTTTATATTTTTCAGATATCCGCGCCTGCTAGGGAAGAAGTACAACACGACTATACTCACATACATTATGGATTGTTCAGAGGAAAATTGAAATTCAACACGTTTGAGACGCCAGTTGAGAATACATTGTATAGTAAGTTTTTTTTATGATACCAAATGAAGGGACGAAGAAGTCACGCGCCTGGTGTTAGGGAGTCACTACAGTTATTAACGCAGAATTGCATTAAGTCGGAAAAAGTAAATATATATATATGTGCCTGTAATTTTACCACTTGAAAACCTAAACGCACTAATACTCACATTACTGCTCGGCGGCAGAAATAGGCAAGATGGCAGTACTGCCCTTGACGAATTATTTGATAAGGCACTCCACTGCTACTAATAAATATATAGGGAAAATATAAAATAAAAATGTGACTTGTGACGCGCCTAAAATTACACGTTCAAGTTTCTCTTTGCTTCAAAATTTTGTTGAGAACAATTTCATGTACTATTTAGTTGTGTATAAGTTTTTAATACGGTTTTTTTTTTGCTTAAACCATAATAAACATTTCGCAACCTTGGTCTAATAAGGTCATATCTGCAATTTTTTCAGTGGAGTGCGCAAGGGTATCGCATGATTTAATTCCGTCTTTCCCATTGCATCATTGTGGGACTAGACGTAGGCTGGGGTTCCACGCCTATGTTGTGGATATTCCAAAGATTCGCACGAAGCGATTCGTATCCACATTTATATGACGAACGCAGACTTTTTCCCCGAACGCTATAACATGAGCCTTTTCAAGGCGAGAGTGAATAGGCATTATTTAAGTGTGCATGCTACATCGTTGCTTTCCATTAGGTGAGACAGAGGTCAAATGCGAAATTAGTCGATAATTTTTTTATGCTTAAATAGGAGAGTAACAAAATTTTACATATATCTTATCTAATTTGTTTCATGTACTTTATGACTTTCATGTGATAAAAGCACTTTTGACGAATGACCAAATGTGGTTTAAGGGTGTGATTTTGTCGTCGACTTATTTACTCCAAAGTACGTTCACAAACCACATAACGATGGGACGAGTTTTATTTTATTCAACTCGACTCGGCGTCTGACAGAGCAACCGCGAGTCGCGAGTAGAACTCGAACTGACACGATTTACCGTGTAGAGCACGATCGGCCGGCCGGCCGACTGCGACTCGAGTGAGAACGAATAGTCGACGCGCTATAAGAATGAAGTATTCGACTCGGCGGGAACCGCACCGAGGTAGCTCGAGTTCACAAAAGGTAGCTCGAGTTGACTCGTTGTGGGAGTAACTCGAGTTAAATAACTCGGACTATCCCATCGCTGGTGCCACCTTTTCGGTTACATAACTGACTTTGACAACTGTTTTATTTATATTGTTTTATTACTAAAGCACATCAAAGTTTGAAATTACTTTGATTTCGTCGGTTTGTTAGACATAATATGAGGACTTCGAAGAACCCAATAAGTCTACGAATCATTTGAAATTATTTTGCCAGTCTAGACGAGAGTTGCTGCTGACGCAGTTTTTTTACACATCAGTTTTTTTAACTTAACTGACTTACGGTAACTGATTTTATCTCATCATTCCATTTATACATCCCGCATCGCGTCGCGCTACGGCAAATAAGTCGTTAAAAACCAAAAACAAAGGTCTGCAACAAGTACATAGAAAAATTCGTAAGGTCCGCTTGTTCGTTCCGTGGCTTAATTGGCATTGGAAGACGTTGGTTCACAACGAAGGATATTTTTCTAAGTGTTGGATGATTTGTATTAATAATTATAACAAACTAGTGGAGCGATTTCACAAAAATGATTGATTATTATGATGTTGACCATCATGATATTCAACAAACTTAATAATTAAATATTAAGGGTCGTATTTTAGAACTCTATTCAATGCTCAAGTCAGGATTGCACTGGCAACACAAGCACTGGAAATACGACCCTAATGGCAGGGACTTGAGTATGATTTCTAGTGCTTTGAATCATACTTAAGTCCTGACTTAAGCATTGAGTAGAATTCTAGAATACGACCCTTAGTACACTACTTACGTTTTCAGTGGTATGCGTGAGTGACATGGGAGCTTGCGCTTTGAGTTGCAAGACCGAAAAGCAGGCCAGAAAGGAGGAGGTACGTAAGAATGACTTATTTTTAACTCCCGACGCAAAAAGAATGGAGTCATCAGTTTAAAGCCTTTGTCCATCTGAGTGCCTGGCTGTTCCTTCGTAGCTCCCAAACGGATAGACTGACCTCAACCTCTTTTTATGGTTAATTTAACCGCGATGGTTCTTAGTCGGTTCAGCTGTTTAAGTATTATGAGCTCTTTTCTCAGTTAGTGTAGGGATCTCATCATCATCATTAACCAGGACAGTCTGCAGACTACCTAACACCTCAACTACTTAGAGCGATGCCACACGACCACACTTACGGACCACAGCACCCCCGCTTCGTCTTCTGGGCCTTTAACCGTTGCGCACGCGCTATAGAAATAGAAATCATTTATTCCTTTAAAAAAACATTGCAGTACACATGCATTTTATAATAAGAATAACATAAAGATTTAGAGAAAGGACTAAATTACAAATCATAAAAAAGTACAAAGTAAGTGTGCTTTGCTACTAAGGAAACCGTGAAACCACTCAGCTAGTTGTCGTCTTACCTAAACTGCTGGGATTCCACCCCTACGCTGTGGATGTTCCCAAGATTCGCACGAAGCGTGTCGCTTCCACATTTATATGGACATTTATATATCTCGAGCGGCTAGAGAGTGGATTTCACTGGCTGCTGGACGTATCCCCCGTACGCTATAATCTGGACTTTTTCAAGGCGAGAGTGAATAGGCATTATTTAGGTGTGCATGCTACATCGTCGTCCTCTTTATCACTTTCCATCAGGTGAGATGGAGGTCAAATGCACACTTAGTTTTAATTAAAAAAAAGAACTATCGCGCTTGAGCTCATTATATTGGTCTCGACGAGTTATTAGCTTACGAATAGTGACATCTCTAGTCAGCGATGGTGGCTATAAAGGTGCCTCCCTGAGTGAAGAAGTAAATTTCTCATAGATACCGTTACGGCAAAAAAGTCGTAAAATCGAAAAACAAAGAGCTGCAACAAAGCACATAGAAAAATTCTTAAGGTCTGCTGGTTCGTTTCGTGGCCTAATTGGAAGTGCATCTGGCACGGATTGTCTAAGGGTGCTGGTTCCAATCCAGCCGGATAGAATCAACTGCCTCTGTGGCCGAACGATTACCATGCCGGACTGCCACGCAGAGGTCCCAGGTTCGATTCCCGGGCCTGGAGAAATATTTGTATGGCCTACATTTATTTCTCTCGTGAGTTTGGGTATAATTTCTGGTTGTCTATGTTTCACTCACACACACACAGGGTTTCCCTAGTGCGGGGCTATGTTGAGTGTGTGCGTTATTATTATATAGAATTAATTTTTCTTAGTGTTGCGATCTTTGTTATGATAATTTTAGCAAACTAGTGGAGTAATTTCACAAAAAATAATTGAATATCATATTCAATAAATTTTTGGAATTCGGTACATTGTTTTGTGTCGGGGGTTTTAAATTTTCATTTCTACAAGAAATACATCGAACTTACTAGTGCTGGTACATACCACATGCCTCTAATACAGTTATACATATTTTTGTTTCTCTAAGGTGCGAGCCTTAGCACAAGGTCGGCGACCAGATCCAGCCTGTATTTCTGTTACCAATATTGAAGAAGGCGAAGGTGAGTAGTCTTTACTAAAATCTATACCCAGTACAAAGATCTTTATCAAAAACTCATAGGAGAATTTTGACTACCCTATAACTTGACCCGTAGTTCAGTTGGTAAGAGCTACACTACGGTGCAGTATGGTCGTTGTTTCAAGGTCTCATCGGGTCGAAAAAGGTTTTCTATATGTTCGATCTTTCAATTAATACATAATAAAAAGTAGTGCAGTTATTTCACAAAATTATATTAATTATAATATATTAATAATTAATAATAAATTGATAAAATAATTTGTAAAACTTAATGTAGCGTAAATTGGAATGTTTTCTTTGTAAAATTAAAAATAAGGTATTTAATTAATAACTATTGTAACTATAGTGAAAAAATAAGGTGGTTTGCATCAATATTAGACATAACTGGTTGAAGACTGTACCACTTCAGTCAACCGTGACCATGGGACCTGTAAAGGGCCCGAAACGTCGGTTTGTTTGAAAAACCAAATATACGCGATTTAAATCCGGAAAAATAGTTTCATTTCCTATGTGTAACAATCGCGAAAACCTAAGAACTCAATAATAAACTAATTTCAATTTAGTAAATCGTATTTTTGATACCTATATCCAGCACTGGAAGTCTTTAGGCTGAACAGATGATAATGATATCCATATTTTTTTTTCTTTTTCCAGTGGATACACCCGTGATATCATTCGCACTCTACATATCAGTTGTACTATTGCTATTTCTACAACTGGCTTTCGCCGTCGTCTCCGCATGTCTGGCCGCCGTTAACGTAGTGAAAAACCCAACTGAAGCTGTTTTTGGTTTACCAGGTTAGCTCTTACTACGTACTACTTTATTTTCTATTTCGTGAAAATTTCAACTCTTGAAGACAAATCCGGGAAGTTATCAATCTTCACTCCGCTTTGACTCGGGGTGGATGCTTTCAGATACCTGATCCCTTACCGACTATTTGGTTCTGAGGAGTAACAATGAAGAAAACTGTTAAATAAACTGCCTCGACTGCCTCCGTGGCCGAATGGTTAACATGCTGGTCTGCCACGCAGAGGTACCGGATTCGATTCCTGGGCTGGGAGAAATATTTGTATGGCCTACATTTTGTTTCTCCCATGAACTTGCGTGTAATTTCAGGTTGTCTATTTGTGTGTCCATGGCACCTATGTGTCAGTGTGTGCGTTATTGTTACTGTAATAGCCTATGCACATGGCGTGTTTTATAGGCGCGCGTTTCACGTTCTGCATCTGCGCGTATACGCGCCGCATACGCGCTTTAGTGACTCGATTAAAACGCAAGTAAATATCGCAATGCACCTAAAAAGCTTATACTATACTCCAGTGGAGTTTACAGCCAAAATTTAATGTAGTTGCTTTATTTCAAAAACTAGCTGAAATTAACAAACAAAACTAAAATTAAAACTATCTTTCATCAAATTACGCGACACATAAATAGCAGATGACGCGCGATTATGGCGCTTCCAATATACGCCCTGTGTGTGTGCTCTTAAATAGACAATGACATGACGAAACCATACGGGTTCTTAATAATATATAAAACAAAACCAAATTTTCCCAGGATGCCTCTGGTGTAACGTAATGACAGCAGTCCTCGGTATCGCAGTGCTGTTGACCTTTGGCATCTACTATACCGTGTCAAGGCTACCATATCATATGGCCGTGGGCTATGTTGCTTTGGGATATTTTTATAACTGGTGGCCGATACTATCGTACTCGTATTGGTAAGTACAGACCATATATTCTATCATTTCACCATAGTTTCTAATTTAAAAAGAAGCAATAATTCTGGACTAATAATATAATTTAAACTTAATCCTGTTGGCTTATTGTTGAAAGTTCAACACATATTATTGCAAGTTACGACGTTTTGATTTTATATTGAAATTTTAATCAAAGTGCTGCTATACCTATTCAATACCAGTAGCGGTAGAGGTCATTGTGAAAGAGTTAATCCAGGGAAGTTTTGCCACCTTACCTTTTTCTGCCGCCAAATATTAAAGTCAGCATTACTGTGTTCCGGGTTTGAAAGGTAAACCCTTACCTGGTGAAATTACAGGCATAATGAGACTTTTTTTTTTTTTAATTTATTTAGGAAAAACATACAGTCTTATACAAATGTTACATATAAAAACATTAAAATTACAATCTAGTCTAGATTGTTCCATTAAATAATTACGAATATAAGAAAATTTGTACAACGGACAACAGTATAGATGACATCCAACAATAAAAGAAATTAAACAATATAAGGTTATGTATTAAGGTCAGGCCACACAGACGCGGTATAGCGGGAAAAGCGTTTCGGGGGCGGACCTGCGGGAAGCGAATGCGTGCCGGGGCATGCCACACAGCAGTCCCGAGTGTAGTTCGCGACGGGACAGCGGGACGAAGGCGGCCGGTGTGACACCAAAAGCGTCACGCCACATTTCATTTTCAACACAAATAAAGAAAGGTCTATGTCACTATCGGATAGTGATGAAGAAGAACTTCTTTAAGCGCCAACTTTTGTATGGGGTGTTAAAGTTACCTTGAAAAAAAATCTGCTAAAAATTTCAAGAAAAAAATTAAATACATAATTTTTTGTGCTGAAACTCTAGTAATTCGGGCTTTCTTTGGCATTGTGCTCATTAGCTGGACTGTTTCGGGTTACCGTTACAAAAATTAGAACAGCAAAATTAGCAAATTTGTAATTGTAGTACTTAAAAATGGGGTACAGGGCGTACATTTTCAACATTTTTCATTAAAATGCTTATATTACAAAAAGAAAATGACTCCGATTTTTTAAATATTTTTTTTCTGGGTAGTTACAAACTAGGCAACATTCTGTTCCCAGGTTATCGTTGAGTTTTGGGACACCTGTATACTTACTTTGAAGGTTTTGAATCAAACTATTCATATGAACAGAAATTGTTTATTTAAAAACATTTAAAAAATTCTATAATCTTAATACAATTAACTCGAAACTATTTTTTCAGTGAGATTCACTGGGCATTTTCATTATAACAAATAATAGGTATCTAAGATTTGTAGAATCAACAATAATAATTGCATTTAACTACTGTACCTACTTACTTTATTATTAACAATCTATATACCTAATTAACTTGAAACTTCTTTTTCTATCAGTCCAAATGGGCATTTTTATTTTAATAAATAATAAGTACCTATCTAAGATTTGTATAACACCAACTATTTTGTTTAAGTTATGTATCTATATAAGTGCATTATTATGAACAATCTTAACATAGTTAACTTGAAACTTCTTTTTCTATCTGTCTCACTGGGCATTTTTATTTTGACAAATTATTATTTGTCATCTGATTATGCAATTGAAATGTTAACTTGAAACTTCTTTTTGTAGCAGTCTCACTGGGCGTTTTTATTTTAACTAATAATATGTGTCTATCTAAGATTTATGTAACAACAACAATTCTACTTAACTTATGTACCTACTTATATTATTTTGAGCAATTTTAACATAGTTAACTTGAAACTTCTATTTCTAACAGACTCGCTGGGCATTTTTATTTTAACAAATAATTAATAGGTCCCTATCGAAAGTTACATTATTATGAACAATCAACAATCTTAACACAATTAATTCAAACTTCTTTTACTATCAGTCTAATGCTGGCTTCCTACGGCCCATGATTTTTTATTTTAACAAATAACAGGCATCTAAGATTTGTAGAATCAACAACAATTCTATTTAATTTTATGTACCTACTTAAATTATTATGATCAATGCATAATTGCAATTATACTTAACTTATGTACCTACATATACACTCGGGAGCAATGAATCCGAGTCACTAACATAAAAATCAACATCTCAGAACTAACAATGCAAACTTATTCAAACAAAAAGTGTTTTGTAGACCATTCAATACTCTAATAAAATTTATAAAACTCCTTGGTTGCTATTTATTAAACTTAACTGTTTATTTATTTAACTTTTTATTTATTAAATTAGCATTCATTGTTTCTTATTACATTTTTTATGTTATCACAGCATTAATTCAGTACCATACCTTTTGGAATTACCCTGTGTAGTTTAGTCATCAACGATATTACTGGTATCATAATTTGAAAAACAAGTCTTCAGGAATTAGTTGCAATGAAACTGGGATACTTTTTTGATCATTATTACTTGTTGTGCTAATTAAGGTAAATGAAGGAGATTGTACCGGTGCTACTGAAATTTGATTTTCTTCTAGGTCGTTCAGTTCAGCTTCTGTAAAAATGTGTGCAAGTTTCAATTTGATTTCGGCTTGAATTGTGGGTTTCAGTTTTTTAAATGTTTCTGCATAACTAATAAACAGATAATCTACGGCGTCATGTTTTTTTCTTAGAGAAGAGAAGAGGTATCTCACAGTTGATTGTTATTGATGGAGACGTTTTCCACAACGTATTCGGCCAGCTAACACAGAAATGGCAAGTCTATAGACGTCCCATGCAATATGATATTGAAACGACAATAGAAGTTGTCAAAGGCACGTGTTATTTACACAATTTCATTAAAGTAAGAACGGTAACAATGCGGTTCAACAGAGCGATTCTCAACCACTTGTGGCCAATGAACTACATCCAATTCCTCGTACAAATCAAAGATCGTCTGGTTATGCAATTGAAATCAGAGAACACTTTGTCAATTATTTTAATAATAATTAAAAACATAAAAAATATACTCACGACCTTGATTTAGCTCCTTGGAATAGTTTCCCAAATAATTTCTGTTTTTATAATTTCTATCACTTGTATTAAATAAACTGGGGTATGATTGCACCAATTATATAAGTTTTTCCGTCGAATTCATCTTGAAACTTGATTAAAATCAATTAAAACACATGTCATAGTTGTAAAAAAATACAACGTCCAAGCCCGCTGAAGCCCCGCTCCGGGATCGCGCCCCGCCACTGACGCGCTGTGTGAACAGTTGCATAGAACTCAATGTATTACAACACCCGCGCCCGCACCCGCCCCGCGGTCCGCCCCGCGCCCGCTTTGCCTGTTTGTCATGGCGTGCGGCCCCGCACCGCGCCGCCTCGCCCCGCGGCCGCCGCGCCTTTCAGTGTGGCAGGGTTCATAAGAACTGGTACATTACAAAAATTCCCGCGCCCGGAACGCTTCCGCGGCCGCCTCTGTGTGGCCAGAGCATTAGGTGCTCTGTGAAATATAATATCTCCCACTTTTTGCTTACACTTTACCAGTGATAAAGAGAACATATCGACGTCTTTCAAGTTGTCGTTATAATACCTACACGAGCGTCTAATAAATGAGTTTCTGGCGTAATTTGTAGAACATGGGTAACAATAAAAAGATTTTCTTTTCTTGTCTTGTCAACTTATGTCAGATCTTTGCGACTTAAAGATCTGAGTGGCACTGCAATTGTTATAGGCAGGCGTGTCGCTTATCATCAGGCGCACGACTTATTCGTCCCGTCACTGGATATTATTAAAAAAATAAAAACCTTTCTTGCAAGTTTTTTTTTATAATAAAAAAAACGAAAACTACGACGTCTTGATTTTATATTGAATTTTTATTCAACATGCTGCCATTTTGCGGCCATTAGCTGGACTAAGACGTACGATTAACATCTGAACGAATACATAATCAGAAAATTTAAAATTTGTTAAAATAAGACTTACCGATGATTTGAAATACTGCGGGTAATGTTTTTACTGCAGCATTTTTGTATGGTTTCAGAGAATTCGCGCGAAAGAATGTCACAGTCATACCATACAAAGCGGACTGAGTTCAAGTAGGTCTTTCGAGACCTATAGTTGGCACGCGTCAGACGCTAACTAACCACTTCTACTGTATTTATTGTTCTGTGCGTATACACGTAATGACATGATTTTAGAAACAAGGCCCTCTCAGACTCTCTCAGGATGACGGGCGCTCTTTGCAAGTTATAGCTCTGATTGGCTCTGTGTTATAGGTAGGCCATCGCTTTCCATCAGGAGCACGAATTGTTCGACCAGTCACTTGTTAAAAAATGATGAACCAGTCCACCTTACATATTGTTATCAGCGGTTTTGTCCGGACTAAATCATGAAGATAACAATAAAAGCTTTTGTTTTATTTCAGGATCCTAACTGGTGCCGTGCTTTGTTCTGTAATAAACGTGGTTCTTCTAGTGGTGAGACGGTATCTGCTGGAACGGGATCCTCCATCGCCCACAATAAAGGTGGAAAATAATTCCGATGACAATACAGTCGTAAATTTATAATATTATTTTAAGCAAATGTTTATTAAAATGAAAGTTTCAAAAATAAATTCTAAACATTATTATTTGTTTCCCGCTGGCAACTCGTGACTATGGAGCAAGTAAAATGAGTAACCGTCCCGAAATACCGGAAAAATAATAAGTCGTAACTTAATCGTATGACTAGTGGAAATTATAAATGATTAATTATTAAAATCATAAAAGTTATACAAGTCTGCAATTGCTAGGTTACATGTATCTTTGCGTTAAAGTTTTTGTCGTGTAGACCCCCACACTAGCGTCTTTCGAGGGTCAGCGTTTTGCCAACACACGCACAACGTCGACACGAACGTCCGCGTGATACAACGCCAGCGTGGCGTATATCTGACGTTCGGTCTACTCTCCTTATTCGTCCGACATCTCCATCCGAAACAATTAGTGTCAAGTACTTAATACTCGATGAAATGAGAAGACAATGTCAAGTACCAAGCTTCATTCGCATCATTATTCTTTTAATTAGGCATAGTAATAATACTGCATGCATAAATATATGTATTTCACAGTAATTGTTTCTGATGGATATCGGACGAGTGTAGACCCCCAATAGTCGCTCAATGACGTCGCGCTGGCGTTGTGTCGCTGCCGCGCGGACGTCGTCGTGTCGACGCTTTGCGTACGTTAGCAAGACACTGATGTTTGAAAGACTCTAGTGCGGGGCCTCTTGAGGTCACTCTCAAGGTCAGGTCACCGACAAAGTGACAACTATTCCATGAGAGAGGTTTAAAGATTTTTTATCTTTATTTATTTGGGAACTTTTAAGCAATATATATGTCAGTTCCATGGTACCCTAAACTATAGCTTACATGTCTGGGCGGCGCTGTCTGAGAGCCGATTCAACAAATAGTAATAGTCTTTTTTATAATTATTAATACAAAGATCGAACACTCAGAAAAATTCCTTCGATCCGGTCGGATTCATCTGTGATAAATCTGTAATAGATTTCTCATAGATGGCGCTACGACTAAAAAGTCGTTGAAAGACCAAGTACAAAGACACGACGCAAGCACATAGTAAAATTCGTGAGGTCCGTTGGTTCGTTCCGTGGCTTAGTTGGTATAGCGTCTGGCACGGTATGCAAGAAGACGTCGGTTCGAATCCGACCGGATCGAAGGAATTTTTCTGAGTGTGCGATCTTTGTATTAAGAATTATAACAAACTAGTGGAGTAATTTCACAAAAAATAATTGAATATCAATTATAGTAATCATTGACTTACAATTATATGGACGTCGGGTCCGCGCTAAAAAGTGTCCGCACTTGTAAGGCGCTAAAATCGTATACAGAGCGCGACACTCCGCTTTAGTCTTCATTTGTTCTACTGACAGCGCGATACTGCGATGACATTACAATTTAAATTTCGAATAGGTTGACTTGGGACATTTTTTCGTGGTTTTTGTATTAGACCCGTCGTCCATTTATTTGTAAGTCAATGTTAGTAATAGTCTTTTTGCCTGTTTCGTGTGGGGATTGCTTAATATACAATTTATAGCACCTAAGTATATTCGGTTGATCTGCAGGTCTCTCATCAACGTCCTCTGTTGTTCGTACCGGACACATTCCAATAACAAATGATATGCGTCATGATATGCGTCTTCCACTACTCCACATAATTAGCAATTAGGAGAATTGTTTTTTTTTCATTAAATTAGCAAAACTGTTTAATGGAACGTGTCCGGTTCTCATCCTTAGTGCGATGACAACTATTTCTCTACTATGGTCGCACTCTGCAAACCAAGGTAAACGAGAAGGCTGACACTGAATTGTGCGATACCAGATATCTTTTAGTCCCTTGATCTGATATCAAAATATTCACTCCACATTTGAGCACATTTTGACTTATATTTGGTAAAAAATTCTGGGTAACATGGTAGTATATTCACCACCTGTCCTTCTGTTATTCCACGCTGGTTTAAAGAGTCTACGAACAAAATTCGTCAATAACTTTTTTATCTATAAATAGGAGAGTTATAAAATGTGACATGTACGTAATACTTTTCATATAGTTCGTATTATTTTATGACGTTCACGTGATAAAAATGCTTTCGACGTATTAACACAAGTGACTTTATTATACTTAGTGCGATTGCTCACTAAATCCTATTAGTATTTGTTGCAAATCCGAGACTAGACAAATCTATCAAACTCGTACCCACGTCGGATATCGCTTGTTCACTAAGTCCGATCAAGAAAATACAAATATCGCTTGTACACCTAGAGATAAAATGATCTCTATGACATTTCGGACCGTCATTTCTTGGACTTCGGACGTAGTGCACAAACGCTCTACGGGTACGACTTCTGTTCTTCATGACAACGAAAGAGAATATCGATCAGACGATAAAGTTAAGGATTTGGAAGGATGTTTTCAAACCTCATATTTTTCTATTTTCATAAACCAATATTGTTAATTTGTAAGTGGTCATTATAAATAAATTATGAATTTGAAGGAGATTTTGCTTTTATATTTAATTTTATTATTTAAGTGTGAATGTTTTTTAATTACGTTTTTCTTTTTATATTTATGTTTTTCTTTTTTGTGGGTTGTTTATTTCTCTTTATTTTTTTACTTGTGTGTGGTGTCACTTGTGGTTAGCAAATAAATGTATTTTCTTTCTTTAGTTATTTTTCTTCTTTCTTTTTAGTGGAGTTTTCTCGGCAGAAACGTACCACATCCAACTGTACCATAAGAACCATAGCTGTCGTACCTAAATACTTTTATGTTGTTATGCGTATTAATTTATCTTTCTTTTGATTGTTTGTGCATATTTGATGATAGTTATTTGTGCACCTTTTAAAAGAAAAGAATTTTCAAAATCGGTCCACAATGGACAGAAAATTCGGTTAATACACTATACATGCCTATAAAACTTGAGAATTTCTCTTGATTTACATGGAATCCCGTCATCAGATCCTGACTTGGTGACAATGGTACCATCTCGAGAGTGTACCCTTTCAAACAAAAAAAGATTTTTTTTAACACAATTAATGTAGAAATTTGTGAACATACATTAAACATACGTACAGCCGAACGTATAATCCAACTTTTTTTGAAGTCTCTAATAACTCACTCCCAACCAACTCAAGAGGTCTGCTAATCGCGATACAAGGCATTTACGTACCAATTGGTATCTATACTAGATGTTGCGACGAGTACCAAATAGCTAAACATACCATTCGCACCTTTGTACTTGGACGCCCTTACCATGGTGTAGCAAGGCGGCGCCCGCCTTCACTTCCTCAACTTTGCTTCCATTTCGTTTCGCGGTAATGTACATTGAGCATTACTTAATTGCATCGTTACTGTACGGCCAGACTTTTAGACCGTTCGAGATATGAGTCATAATTTCACAAAAACTTCAGCTTTTATCTTAATATGGGGGATTTTGATGCGATAATATCAAAAAATTCATTGTGAGATATCGTATCGTTATACATGAGAAACAGCGGAACTTATTTATCTTCAGGGAAAGTAAACATTTGTTTTTACTAACACCTATGTTAATAAATTTTGTGCTGGAAGTTTCGGGCAAATTTCCAATTTAATATGTATGTATTTAATTAACATTATAATTTTATATCTGTAGCAGCGTGTACAGCCACAGTTCGTGAGACGTCTTTGTGGAATGTCGTGAGTACTTCAAAATACAAAGTAAAATACTCCATTTCAAACCTGCCATAGTAATATATAATGGTGTTGTTCAGGTTGTCTAACATAACACAACATCATAGAATGAATATCTAAGGATGTTCATAGAAACAGTAATTTACAAATAAAATTGCATATTAGCGGTGGTCTGTGGTATTAGCGTCACCATCTATAAAAAGGAACGTAAAGCTATTACAGATTTCGATAAAAAACGTATACTGCAGTTAGTCTCGCGTGTCTAAATAAATAAAAGACAGCTTTCAGACAACTAAATGGTCCGTAGATTGTTAATAAACAAAACATTAATAACTAGGTATGTTATTATAATAATAATTAACAGCTACAGTACACTACAGCCGTCGTCGGTGCACTCGTGCAGCTCGTTGAACCTGCCGAGCCGAGGAGACTGTTGGCGCTTCCTCTGCGTATTAAAATGCTTTTAAGTACTAACAGCCCGGTCACTCAGTTACGTACGTAAGTTGCCTATATGTCACTCAGTGGGTGCTGGCGCAGGTGTACTTAAATTTATAAAAAAAATATTAACATAGGAAATGAAACTATTTTTCCGGATTTAAATCGCGTATATTTGTTTTTTCAAACAAACCGACGTTTCGGGCCCTTTACAGGTCCCATGGTCACGGTTGACTGAGGTGGTACAGTCATCAACCAGTTATGTCTAATATTAATGCAAACCACCCTACTTTTTCACTATAGTTACAATAGTTATTAATTAAATACCTTATTTTTAATTTTACAAAGAAACCATTCCAATTTACGCTACTTTAAGTTTTACAAATTATTTCATTGAATGAATTTTTATTAAGTTTAATTTATTATTAATTATTAATAGAAATTAGAATAAACTAAAACATATTAATTAGTACTGCAGTCTTATGTCTGTTTGGGATTTTTCATTAGAGGATTTACTGGATCCCAAACTGGCGGTACGGAGAAACCACCTTTCCTGTTGAAATTAGGATGTTTTTTAATTTCAATGGCCTCTCGCAGCACCCTGGGAGATAACGGACTTCTTTTGCAAGGACCTGGGGTTTGTCAAACTTCATTGAATGTGTAGGTTTATCCATGACATGCTCGCAGACTGCAGACTTGTTTACGCGACGGTGTTTGACATCAGCTATATGTTCTTTGACGCGGGTACAAATACTTCGCTTTGATTGTCCAATATAAGAGAGACCGCACTCACAGTCAAGCTTGTAAACTCCTGCATCCTGTAAGGGGATGTTCATCCCCATTCTTATTATTATTATTATTATAGTAACTTAGAAGTTGTCTGATTTTGAAGAAAGTATAAATATGTACACATAAAACAGCATTATGATTGGTATCACCCAGTTATCAGTATCTGCATAATATTACCGATAATTGTTGATAATGTAATGATAACAACTTCTATTGCTTTAGTAATTGACTATAGTGCCAAAATGGCGGTCAATCGTAGAGGATATATATTTGGTGTATTGATTTTGAGTATTGTTTGTGTTTTGTTAATTGTTGTTTCTGCAGCTACTGGTAGTTGGGTGAGTAGTGGTTTGTTTACACTTGTATTAGCCTTT